ACTTGACACTTATAAAAATACATTTTTACATTTCTTGATTCTGACTTCAACATCTAGAAATATGTAGAAAATAATAATTTTAATGAAATTAAAAATCTCATCTTACGTCATCATATACCTTTCATATAAAACTAAAAACTAAAAGTGTATAAAATATAAAAAATAATATTAAAATATTAAGAATCTCGAGATTTGAGACCGAAGGATTGAAAAGTATAAAAGACGGCTGGAAGGATGAAGAGAATGAATCTCGTATGTTCGCCAATGCGGCGACTCGTCTGGTTCGCTTCGTTCGTAGCGAAGCAGCAGAATTCGAGAGATCGATATAACCAGCAGCCCGCTCGACCACTCCCTCCGTTCGCGGGCTGACCAATCGAGGATGACTGGCCATCCCCGGCTGGCCCGAGGCTCTCTTTTCCCTTCTTCTCGTGCAACGGTGAATTACGTGACGTCACTGTACGACGCCATTTTCGAGGCGCGTGCCAGAAAGCGTACGGGAGCACCGACGGATTACGCCACGCGAGAATGTCTAGGATATGAAGAATAGATCCTAGATCCGAAAAGAAATTTATTATCTTATCTAAATTGGTTGGACCTTCAGAGTTTTCCGGATTCTAGATTAATTGGACTCTGAACTTTTTACAGATTCTAAATTTTTTTGCTTTCTTAATTTTGTCTCTTAAGTCTTATGTTATTTTCACTTCAATTGATGTTTATTTTAAATCCTGTATGTTAAATTTTTGTAGATTAAAACGTAATTTTTGTGTCTTATAATAAAATCACCTTAAATTGCCTGAATTCAGATTATACAGTCTCTGGTTTGATAAATATTAAATCCATGATATTCTTTGAACTTGCATACCTTAGAGTCTGGTATCTTTGCTAAATGGTTTAAACCATAGCATCTTTAGATCCTGCCTCGGGTTCGCTGCATTCCGAACACAGTTCATTTATCAGAACGGTAAGAATGTTGAGCTTGTTTATCTAAAACCAGACCACAGATTAAAATCGTACGCGTGTCTATGTTGCGAATAAATAATTCATTTCTATCGCCTGTTCTGAAGCCAATCAGTATCATGTTGAACACTATTCTTATTCAAAAGACGATTAATCTTTTAGAGAAAATTAATTTATTTAAAATAAAATTAAAAAATCAGATTGTACACGTGAGGAAATAAATAATTGCTCTTGTTATATCAAATTTATCTATTCTCTGGAAGTCAATTAGTGGTATTTTCCCAGACTCGCAGTTGGTTTAACACATTATTATCTCATGCACCCCAAGTGCATTTTAAATTCCATACATGTTTAGATCTTGCCGTTCGTCGCATATCTTCTAGGTATATTTTTTTCAAATTTATATAAATTTAATGCAAAACATTATTTATTATAAATTGAATTATTTAAAAATGTTGTGTGATTATGAAAAAAATTGAGTTATTAAAGTTTAATAATTGAATATGCAATGGTTCATATTTTTCAAAAATCAATTTAAGTTTTCAAGATTAAACGACTTTAATTAATCAAAATAATTTGCTTAGCGATATTGATATCGTTGAATGATGAAATTCACATGACGGCTTCTCATGAGAAAGAAGCAACGGCAGCCGCAAAATAAAAGCGGCATGATGCACATGTGCGAAGACATCGCCATGTTAAGATACGGACGCGTCATCCGGTAATTGCGATTTATTTCTCTTAATCACTGCGTAAACGGCAGCCAATTTATGCGAGTCGAGTTAATTTCGTGCAATTATATAATTACCGAGCGCGGCGGCCATCGCGCAGGCAGCGAACCTAATCGGTTTGCGGAGCAAAGCGCCGTAATGGCGGTACTTAAATTTAAAGATGCTTCGAAGACTTTGCGCGCACCAATTCACCCTCGCTGATTCAACTCGGCGCTCGTTTCACCCTCTATTATTATCTTTCACGAGTTTCTTGATCATGAGTTTTTGTCAAGTTTTTAACATGCATAAGATTGTTTTCATAAATTAATAATAATTAATTATGATTCATTGGTTTTTTCACTAAATTTTATATTTCATTAATTATGTTCATAAATTGTTGTTTTGTATAAATGTCATATATTTACTAATTATTGTATAATTATTGTATATTTTATAAATTCCATGTATTTATAAATTAATTTTAAAACATCAAACCTGTTCTTAGAATTTAATTTATAAGTGTTAATACTATAATAAAAAAAAGTTTGATAAAATATTCTCTTGGTTTATAAAATAATTTTGTTACCATTTTTCTTAAATTTTTTTTCATCTGCATATATAATATTTTGTTTATAAAAACATAACATTAGCTTCATGACTTTTACTCTTATCCCATTAGATGTTCCATCACTCGAATGAGAGAGAAGTATAAGAAGGATGATAGAGGGTTGGGATTCATTTTGCGGCACGATTCTTGGCGTATAACAAAGTGAGGGTACAAAATCGATACTAGACTTCCTTTCCCTTCTCGAGATGGATGTCACTGTTTCCGTGCTTGGCAGCCATGCCTTTCGTCCAAGGGAAACGGAATTTAGACAGCCTAGGATCTTGGCAGTCGTAGAAGTTAGATGAGATTTAGAGATCTAAGAATTTATGTAGAGGTAAACAGATATCATGCAATTCCAACTTGTATTGTAAATAAAGTTCAAAGAGCGTAAAATTAGATCAAGAAATCGAAAAAAATATCAAAATTTGAAAAAGTGGAAAAAGTATCAAAAAATATAAAAAATATAAAAAGAATAAATTAGCAAACGAACGATATAAATTAAATGCTTATATGCTTTATTCTGAAAGTACAAAACGTAGCTGTGGAAACAAAGTTATAAAAATAAAAATAACAAGAATTCCAACACGTCGTTTTTCGAGTATCACAGAAAATTCCAAAGATCATAGACGCGAAATTGTGCGATTACATCAAGGTGAGCGGAAGGCGTGTAAGTTGCATCGGGGTGCAGACAGATGGGAGTGGTCTCTGTAATCACGATGGGCGTGGTTTTTCACGACTTACTGCAGCTGCATCCAGAAGGGTGCACATAGTTATGTGCCGTCGAATTCTGTCACTTTTATCAGGAGATAAATTATTCGATTGATTCGACAAAATAAGAAATTAGAATAAATATTCTCCTCTTTCAAATATAGAGAAAATAAAGTACATTCGGATAAATTAAATGATTACATTGTATATTTTAAATAAAAATATAAATATAAATATTATCATATAATTACATATAACTTAAACGCATTTTCAAATTGTCTATCTTGTAATATTATAAAAAGTAATTCACAAAAGATTTTACAACTGCCAAAGTAAATCTCTTTATTTTAATAATACGTATTGAGTCCGTATTTCGCAGAAAACCACAAATTCCTCAGCGACTTTTTTTCGCAAATAAAAAGAAAAACTAGATCACAAAATGGATGGAAATACCATTTTTCTGCGCATAATTTAACGCTATTTTTCTACCTCGCATAATTCACCGACAGAGGAGCGGCGCGTTCAAGGAACGAAGATACGAGAGACGGGATTCTGGCGGCGGCAGGAGCGAGATGTTTTGCGAACGCGTCCGCGGCTTTTTGTCCTGCGGACGATTTTGGTGGGTGAACGCCGAGCCGAAGGAGGACGCCGTATGGATCGCGGCTCCCATTAAGCCCTTATTAATTGCGAGCATCTGAGGGACCGACCGATCTTTCTTGCGCTACCTGCGCGCCATTCCGCTGGCCGTGCAAAGCTCGTCCTGCTGCCGCTCGACACAGTCAAGACACGGCAGGATCTTTGATGCGCCGTCAATATGCTGACGATTCGTACGCGGATATATCAGATGAAGCAATGCGGACTGTGGCGGCGTGATAAATTAACAACAAGATTAGGGTATTCGAGGATACCTAAAATAGAAGTACTTAAAGCCTTTTTCTTAAATAATTTTATTAATTACTTTACTGCCCTTCAATGTCTACGAATTATAAAAGAAATATTTAGGAAGAATATTATGTTTAGCTGAGATAAGAAAAGATTATGATATTTCATTTGCTCACTAATTTGATAAAGATAGAATTTTACTGTACGATAAAATTCGCATTGAGATTTTAGTATTCAAACCTCCTTCTTTTCATTATAAAATTATAAACTTTTCTGATATTTTGTATTTTACTATGTTAAAAGAAAACGCGATAGTCTCGCGACAGTTTCTCCAACGACGAATGTGACTGCTATTTAAACTGATAGTTTCTTCTCCCTGGATAAATCATGTAAATAAATAACAGAGAGTTGCCGAATTGCTAAATCGTATCTTATCAATATTTTGTATTATTACTCAAAATAAGAATCATTTAATATAACAAATTGAATAAAAAAAATAAATAATATAGACAGAAATTTAATAGATTATCCTATTTTGTACGTGCTAATAATACTTTAAAAAATTAAGTACAATTAATGTTAATTTTTCATCAATTTATGTAATGTAATTGAAAATAATGTATAATCACGCAATTTTATTTTAAATTATATATATTCACAAAAAAGATTTATATTATAAAATAATTTACATTCGTTATCATATTTGTGATTATTGTAAAGATTAAATCAATATTTTTATCAAGTTTCCTAATAAATTATATCACCACAAAGTTTTTTATTTTAATAAAATATAAAATATATGATATAAAAATATGTCAAAAGTAAATTCAAACCAACATTATTTTTATCTTTTCATTAGGGTTTAAAAAACCAATAAGTATGCTTTTTGAAGCATGTTACAAAAAGGCTTATAATAAATTAATTTATTATTGATGAAAAGTTAAACATATAATAATAGGGATCTAAAACTTATCGTGCTGCTTTTTTTAAATACAAATTAAAACAGAAAATATAGTCAAAAATAGTTTAAGTGGCGCATTTGGCAATTCTCCCCCAGGAGAATTACTATTAGGACAAAATTAACCCCTCAGTCCGTTCGCCGGTTGGTGAAACCAAACATGGAAAAGTCTACTTACTTACCGGAGAGGGGTGCGTAGTGGCCGTGAGGATAGGGCGGCGCCGAGGAAGCGTCGACGAGAGACTGCGACGGCGTCGCCGACGTCCACTCCTTGTAGGACGCCGCGGCGTGTGCGTGATGTGCCGCGTGGTGAGACGTGTGGTGGCCGAGACCGCGTGCACCACCCAGCAGAAGGCCACTGTAACTCGCCGCCGCTGCCATATTGTGGTGGTGGTACTCGTGCACGGCCCTGAAAAAAAAAGGAGAGAAAATGCGCGAGAAAATTCGCGACGTGAGAAATGTAAAGAGAATGATCTGAGCGAATAAAAAAATTTGATATAAAATGTAGTGTACTTTTCGAGTGAGTAAAATTAATTACTGATTACGTAGCGTTTTGGCGCATAGAAACGTACGGACGTATTGCATTCGAATTAACACGTAAAAATAGCGTCGCGTTTCTCAGCATGCCAACGTGATTACGGTATGATTAGCGTGTCGTGATAAATGAAACGTACCTGAGTCAGTACCCGATGCCAATCTTGAAGGGATAAGATAAAATGTAAAGAGGAAAGTAAAAGAGAAAAGAGGCCGCGGAGAGATAGTGACGTTTTAAAAGCGAAAACGGAGAGCGTGGACATGTGAAAAATATTGAAAACCATCGGGAGCAGGTAACGCCGAGATCTTTAGCACTGATCCGGCCACTTGCATAAATTACAAATCTGTCACCGTTGCCGCAGGAAGAGAAGGGAAGGTATCGGCAACTGCTTGTCTTCTTTTCTCTCTCGTTTTAATTCTTCCCACCCCGTTTTCCACATGTAGCATGTAACTCTTTCAAGTCAAGCGCCGTTTCTTCTTTTTTCACATGTTTTATTTTAACGATGGCATTTGCCCCTTAATGTCAAGATATATTCATTCAATACTGAACGTGGTACTACATAGTGATGGCATTCAATGTTATCATGTTTTGAGAATGTAGAACGAGAATACGGATCAATGCAATTGTGTGAAAGAAAAAAAAAGGAAATTATGAGAAATTATCGAATGATTAATTCGGCATGGTCTAAAGTGTTTAGAAAATCCTCGTCTTGCTAATTAACGAGCTATGTAGCATTTAATGGCGCGCTCACTAGAAAAATTCCTAGCATGTGGTCTCGGCTTTATGTCTGTACGGTGTGACGAGATGCTGGAGTTACACGCAATTACTCGATGTGCGCCATCAAGAATCAATAAGACATGGATATGGCGCCGATATTCCATACAACATTGTAAAGAATGCCTATTAAGGAACGGGGGGGGGGAAGGAAGCTATGCCATTTATGTAAAACAGAGAAAAGATAGATAAGGAAAAAGAGAGGAAGAGAGAGGAGGAGGGCGAGAGAGAGAGAGAGAGAGAGAGAGAGAAGAGATGAAAAAAATAGAGGACAACAGCGATTGGTAGTACTGACCTGTGATGGTACTGTGGGTAATGCGGATGCCACGGATCCGTCGGGTACTCGTAGACATCACTGGGATGCTGACTATTCCAAAAGGAAGGGGGAAAGTTCCTCATGGACATGGGGGAGATATTTTCTGCAATAAAAAAGAACACAGTTTTACAGCAACGGTGCTTTTAATGGTCTGCGTGAGAAAACGTGCACCTTTAAGAAATTTCTCAAAGAAAATAGAGAGAAAGAGAAAGATTTCTTTTTATTTTGTCGAGGAAACTCTTATTTTGCTGCTAGAATATATTCGAAAAAGAGTGATCGGAAGATTTTATCGATTGTTTACGTAACCCTTTTCGAGCGCGTCCGTTTTGGCGTTTCTCCGTTCTCGGGATTTGATCGAAAAATTTTTCGCTAAAATATCACGTCATCTTTATTGTTCTCGTTTAAAAACGAGTCATGTGCTACCAAAAAGAGGACAATTTTTAAAACAGGCAGAATCATGAATACTGTTGATACTAAATCATTTGATGAATATCAAGTGATGGATACCACCGATAATCCGATAATCGTTGTTTCTGTCTCCCCCTAAGGGAAGATGTTCTCTCCCCCGGAAAACAAGTTCCAAGCGGTCACGCTTTCACCAGAAACCACTCGTTCTAACTAGCGGAAATAAATAACGACATTGGCCGGCTAAATCATCGTAGTTTGTAACGGTGGAGTAAATTAGCAGCCGGTACGCCTCACCTAGCAGATAATCGAAGCGACTTAGTCGAAGATGAAATCGCGTGCGCGCGGGGAGGGAATTGGAGGGCATAAATCGTGGTCGACCTCGCGTTGGTCCACAACCTTCGGGTATACGTTCCGATTGGCCGGGGATGGATTAAAAAAAAAGAAGGAAAAAGAAGAAAAGAAGAGAGGAATCCAACGTGAGCGAGGACCGCGCGAGAGGATTGCGGGAGGATACACAACAAGCTTCTGGCTTCGGAGTGGTCGCTTGTAAAACAACTGAGCGGTACCCTTCTACCTTCCGCCGATTTGATCCCGTGGGATTCTGCCTGCCCGTTTAGCGAAGTCCTTCGAAATCCGTGGGAAACGATACTGAATATTTTAATAAAGCTTCGTCAGAGAAAATCGATCGAAATTGTTGTCATAATCGCATTATGACTATGTTATTAATAATATCTCAATACGTCATATATGATCATGGTAAACATAATATAATTTATATAGATCATAATATACAATAATATATTATTGATTTATTACAATAAAAATTTCATTGTGCTATTTATTAAATTATCATTAAGAAAATAATGAATTATAAATTTTTTATTAAAGAAATTCTTCGACTTGATGTCGCGACACTGCATTTTTATGGATTACACTTGTCACAAATAGACAGACGAACAAATATCTTTTATTATATAGATTTTGACACGAAAGCAACGTTTTATGATGACGGTGACCAAACCGGTAAATCAACGTCGAAATACTAGGTCTTACATAACGGACGATCATAACGCATGGAGTTACGACTCCCAATAGCGTGGTAATAACACAGTGCGATTAATTAATCGCGTGAATTCGAAGTATCTACAAATGAGCTATAAATTAAATCGATTCTTGCTTATCAGTTGAATGAATTTCTATTATGTATGTACAAGCGGCAATCACGATAGTATCTCGATCAACAT